TAAGCCAAACCTGAAGATCTCAGTTTTGGATTCCTTCACCAGTTCTTGGGAAAGAGCTAGGAAACAAACCCAAGTCTGAGACTCTCTAGCTCGAAGCTAGACGCTGCTGCTGCTGAACTCCCTGCAACCCCCACAGACTCTGGACCCAACCGGTTCCTCCTCTCACGGATCTGTTAGAACCTCTTCAAGGTATTATCTGAATTCTACTCACTCGTCAAGCCAACAACTGCCTGGCTAACCAAACTCTCATCTCTCCAGATATTAGTGAATCCAGTCCCGGACCTGCACCAGAACCAGATCCTGCATAATCCTGTGTATTTCCATAATAAACATTGTTAAACTTTATTCTGTCTCCAGTGGTGTTCTGCATGTGGGTTAAATCCATTAAGCCTATCATGACACAGGGTTTAAAAGTTCACAGGCCACGACGCATGTTCGTACACTGTACGGCCTGATGCTCTGATACGATCTATCTGCTCACACTGTACTTTCAAAACACACATGCCGGATTCAGTGCCGAAAGATGCCGCTGGTCGGACTTCTCAATCAAGAAGAAGAATATTAAGAACTCCCTGTTCATTCGCAGTCTGCAGGGTTCTGGTATATCAGCTCAAAGGGGCTCATAGCTCTGCTTCAACAGCAGGATTTTCCCACGAACACCACACAAGGGCTGACTGAATTTAGAATAAGTTTGATTCTATATTAAATAAAAGAAGAAGAAGAAAAAAAAAAGAATATGTTTCATTTTCGACTCGTGATTGGGAGGTGGTCCTGGGAGGTTCATCGCCCCTCATTACCCCCTTTATACTACACGATGCATGCTCCCAGAGGTTCTGAGTTCTAGTCCCACTCTTACTGCCACTGTGGGTCCCTGAACAAGACCATTGACCCCACACTGCTCCCCGGGCACCGCACAATGGCAGCCCACTACTCCCCAAAGTGATGGGTAAATGCAGAGAATGAATATCGTTGCCTTGTATTGTGATACTGTCATGACAATAAAGTTAAATTCGAATTCTTCTACTAACGTCGAACTCTTTCAGGAACATTCATTGTCAAGTAAGAGGAGCTTCAGCAGCGTGAAGCTGACACTCCAGCCACATGGATGACAGTCGGGGATTCAATGATAATTCTTTAAATCTACCCCCTCAGAAGGCCTCCATGCTGGGCGGTGAAATGGGGTCTGTGGTGGAGGTAAGGGGGGATGATTAATAGTCCCTCTAGGACTAAATTAAAATGGCTTTTTTAGGCCACCTAATACTTCTTCAGACCTTTCCTCATTTCTATCTTTTTTGAATATTCTTTATCCCTGTATTCAATTCAGTTTATTTATATAGCGCCAATTCACAGCACAAGTAATCTCAAAGTAGCCTCGTGAGACCATCCTGATCTCGCAAGCTTTCAAGGTTTCACTCGCAAATCAGTCTGGAGACTCTCCATTAAAGAAAATTTGGAGCCGTTCACCAAACAAACAGCGTGGGCTTTGAGGCAGGTTGAGGTGTGACGCAACGAGAAGCGCGACCGTTCAGTCTAAAGAACATGGCGG